CACACACACACACACACACACACACACACACACACACACACACACACACACACACACATAAACATATCAGTCCACACACTCTTCGCTTTGAACTGATGAACACTGATGAGAACCAGAAGCCGAGAAGATACTGTACTGGGAAAGCAACTGTGCATGTGTGTGTGTGTGTGTGTGTGTGCGTGCGTGCGGTAATGATTCTTCATGTTTGCTCTTTCTCACCGACATTAAAAAAGAAAAGAAAAGAAAAATCGTCGTTTTCCATCTTAGCTTGCTATTTGTGTGTGTGTGTGTCTTAATGCAGATTCCGTGTTTGGGAACATGGCATCAAGATGTTTTTTAGCTTCTGCATAAGTACTTCCCAGTATGTGCAAACTATTATCTCACTTCAGTGGATAATTAGATATTGCTTAAGTCCTGCAGTGATTGGAATCAGACAGTTGTGTGTGTGCGTGTGTGTTGCAGCGATCCACAGTGAGTGTCAGGCCGGCTGGTTGTGTTTAGAAGTGGAGCCACTCCACTCAGCCTGAGTGTCTCCCTACTGGAATGCTGTGAGTCCAGGAGGGGAGGTGCTCTGGGAGACGTGTGTGTCTGTTTGTGTGTGTGGTTGACAGCTGACTTCCAGATGTGTGCAGGGAGTCTGTTTTGCATCACAGGCTTCCCCCTTTTTTCCCTTTCACTCCGCTTTTGTTGCTTTACTGTCCCGGGCAACTTTTATGTCTTATTTTCTTGCACAGTAAACATCACGTCACTCTTGTCGCATTTTAAATAAAGCAGTTGCCTTTTTAAAGAGTTTTAGGTGACGGTTCTGTAGGAACAAAGTTCATACCAGACTGTTCTCAATGAAGAGGTTATTTAAAAGTAAATGTCACTTGTGACTTCTTCTCCATCCAGAGGAATGTTAATCACATCGGTCCGCTCTCTGTGTGGTGTGTGTTTTAATCAGGCACTAATGGGGGCTACCGTGAGGAGCCGGTGGACCACAGACTTACTGACAGAGAGTGGGCTGATGAATGGAGGCATCTGGATCATGTAAGTCCACTGACAGGCACCACTAGTGCTAATGGTTTGTGATAGAGAAGGAATGTAATTTGTTTTACTACTGGGGTCTTTAGCGGGAGGGTTTCAGCTTTTCACAGCTTGAAGGTAATGATAAATGGCATCTCTTCCTGACGAAACATCCTAAGTGTGTGATTTGTAAATGTTTTTTTTTAAATAAATAGTTACATGTGATGTAATGAGTGGAGTGAAGCCTATTTTTTTTTTTCCAATCTGTAAATGCTCGTCTTTGCCTTGTAGGTGTTGAACTGCATTGTGGACATGGTGGAAAAAACACGAAGGTCGGTGAGCGTGCTCAGACGATGCCAGGAGGCAGACAGGGAGGAGCTGAACTACTGGAGACGCCGTTCAAGTGAGCAGGAAGACCCACGCAAAGGAGGCTCCGGCTCGGCTCCGTTTTCCAAGACGCACAGCCCCCCCACGGCAGAGTCGGGTGTGTGCCTTTTTACGTTTAATAAACTTGTGCGTGTCGTATGAGGGGGGAAAAGCATTTTGTTGTCTTCTCGCTTGTTGTTTCCGTAGCCCCAATGTCTGCTGCGCAGTGATTTGTGCGTAACACTGAACATTAACTCGAACCAGAACAGAGTTTCTGCTCCTTACTCGTGACACCATCTAGTGGCCATGATTGGAATTGCACCTGTAAAGTCACATGTCGGTGTGTTAGAGAGTCCTTCCACAGTTAGTCCCCCAGTCTGCTGTGTACTGGCACTGTTCTCGCTGTGTGCCAGCC